AAGATGAAATATTGAGCAAGTGACCCAGCTCATTACTAAGAAAAACAATGAGCAGTAATTCATGACACAACATAAGTCCACTCCATGACGCGTTTGGGGTTTGAAATATTTTAGGACTTAAAATTGAGCACCAATGCCATGAGAGAACTACTTTACAAACCTTACTCGCACCTCCTGCATATTGTTTTCACCAAAGCATTTACGGGTCTAAGAATTTAAACTGTAAATGCTAGGCAATTCGAACTATAAATTAGAGTCATGGAAGGCAATTGAAGCATTAAGGGGAAAATCATCAGACTGATAAAAACACGAACTTTAATGTTATGAACCATGTGTTTCCTCTAATTATTCATCTTTCGGATGCAAAAGAAAAAAATCAATAGAGGGAGCAACAGTAGTGTATGAACAAAAAGAATCGATAATACCAAATGGCAACTCAAGCGTCAAATGAATGGAAACCCCCCAAAATGTTGTTTCCTCCCATCCTCTGCATATTTCCTTCTGCACCTAGGTTACTTGGTCTTCTACAGGACAGCATGCAAGAAACAAAGCAAACGAATTAAAATATTGCAATACACCTGAAAAGAATAAAGGAAAGTCTAACAATCCAAAGTTCATCCTCTCAAAATGGAAAATCCATTGTGAGAAGTTAAAGGTAAAGCTAGTTATAGCAATACTTTTCTACAATCAGTTTAGATCATGCGATCAGAAAGATCACCCTATTTGTTTGAGAGATCTAGAACACAGAGGGAAGGGGGGAAAACTAAACCACAAAACAATCAAAAGGAAGCATAAACGGGGAGCAATTATCCATGTTGGTAAGCAGAATCAGTTTAGGTTCTTCACCGTATTGAAATTCAAACACAGTAACACAGCCAATTGAGATCCTGGAAAAAAAGTCAATTGTATGGTTCAATAATTTTCAAATTCACATATGTTTGATTTGAGACAATCATAAGTCCTTGACCCATACTTAGCATAATATTTTTTATGTTAATCAAATGATGTCCTCTAACTTCATATTCATGATGCTTCTGGTATAAACAAAGCCAAAGTAGTTAATGCATTTGTTGTAGTTAGAGCCATAGTCTGAAGCTTAAATTACATCAAGCACCAGTGGTTGTTGGGATCAAGTAGTCTAGGTTTGGATAATAGTTATTTAGGTATTTTCCTTTTTGAATGGAAGGTCATTCGGTTGATTGTGAATTTATTATCACTTATATCAACAAAAAAGGAGAAATAAAATTGACCTTACTGCTACATTGGTTCCAAAAGAGACCATCAAAGTCCAAAGCTGATGGTTTATGCTGCAAATGCCACAAAGGAAAAAAAATCAAGCTTCTAACAAAATGGATAGCATAAATATGTTATAGCTTGTTGGTAAAGCACTTTAAATTCATAATGGAAGTGTCAACCAACATATCATAATCGACCATGGAGCTTAGAAATCTAACAATACAATGTAGATTGAAGTTTTTCACCAACTTATGTTAACCCATGGACGTTCTAGCCAAACAATGAAGTTGTTGGATACAACTTCTAACTAACGATAACTTCTAGCTTGTAGAGGACCCATTTCTCCTTACATACTATCTCGACAACCAAACTCATTTCTCCTTACAGAGTATCTGAATTTATCCTTAACAAAAACCCTCCCTAGGATTGACTCGGACATTTCTCAAAACCTATCATACTTTATTGTTTGACACTGAAAGACCTGTATAAGACAAAGTAAAGAAACATTGAAAACCGTTACGCTCGTGCCTATAATAATAAAACTTAATGAAGCGGCAAATAAGAAAACACATAAAGGAAAGTTTAATAAACCAAACGGGAACCACATATATTGGATTAGCCCAATAAACGTATGGTCCCTCCTCATTGAAAATGCTAAAGATCAGCAGGGGACCAGGGGTGTTCGACCCCTTGTCGGAAAAACACATGTAACCATTCGGTGACGCCAAAAAATATTATAAGAGCTACATCAGGTAATACGCCACATTCAGTCGCTACTATGTATAAAGATGGGAAATATGTAGTTGTAAAAGCAAGCATAAACTGGCTTTCAACATAAAGAAACATGGTTAAATACATGTGAAAAGCAAGCAGAAGTTGTTTTAACTTGAAGTAACATAGTTGAGTGATGAGGTGGAACCAAAAGAAGAAAAATTAATAAGTACTTAAAAGTCAGCAAAATCATTTACTTGTTAAATTGGTTTATGTGACCATGCAGAATCTAAAATAGAGCCACTAATAATGAGAATTGTTTAGCTTCTAATCTTCCCACCACTATGATCAATTACCATACAGGAATGACGTAATCTTATGCCACGACAATTTTTTAAGAAATCGAGTAATATGATTAAAAGAATCATAATTAGGATCATGAAGAGCATGGTGCATGGAGTACTAAACTGAGGCTCCTGCAGCAATGGAGAGAAGATCCACTAATCTGGCTTCCTCCAACTTGTTCCTATCCTTTTATAAAAACTACAAATTGAAGGGATCCAAGTTCAAATATGAACTCATTATACACAAATTTATTCTTTCTTGTGAGCATGCATGTCAGTTATATATTTCTAATATTTTGGCAAAGAAAAGGATATGCATTCGCCATTCAGTAAGGTTGTCAACCTGCGGGCTGACCCGGACACGATAGAGCTAGTGGGTCAAGGGTTAATGGGTCACCCGTTTTAGCCCGGAAATATGAAAATAGTCGTTATATTGTACTTATCCTGATAAATTATATGAAATCTCATCTAACATATGCATTATAACATATAATATTACATCAAAATAAAATTTCATACTTAGATCCAAAATATAGTGAAAATTCGCACACACTTATATAACATCAATATTTAAATGTTCAACTTAGGATTCCAAAGATTGAGTAAGGCGAAAAGAAAAATCGGAAAATAGACGTATTTTGCAAACCAAAGAAAAAAAATGACACAATTTGACCTCCAACCCGATACCTTGTAGCAATCGATCCGGTGGGGTGCGTGTGGCCCGTTCCACCTAAAAAGGAGTTGATGAAGCTTTTTGGACATGTGGCGATCAGTTATTGGCCGGGAATGCCACATCACCAATCCCACGTGGTACTCCCGGTGTATGCAATCATCTCTTGAAGAACAAGAAGTTCATTTGACATATGAGGGTTGGCGAGAAGGGGCTGACGTGTCAAAATCTCTTTTTTGTTAAAATTGCCTTCTTAGTTTTTTTTTTTAAGATATACCACCTAAAAATGATAAGAAATTATTGCAAAGAATGCAAGGTGCTTGAGTCTAAAACACAAAATATGTATTACCTACGATTCTAGCCAGAAAATGTTGACTGATACTTTGTTCATGAACCAAAATTTCATCACATCAAGTCATACCGACACTACCTGCTAACCTGCAGGCTGCAACAAGTTTAAGAAATCAAGTAAGAAATGTAAAGACATGGATTCTCATTCAATGTACTTGTAAGAGAGGGATTCAGTTTTCATTTGCTTCTAATTAAGATCGAAAGGTGCAAACGAGATCTAGGAGGGTTCCTCGCCTCTATTCCTTTCTTTAACAAGATAGGAGTAAAGTACTCGGTCAAGCCATAGCGACAACATGAATAAATCTTTATAGCGTAGTTGTGTTGCAAGGGCAAATGAGTAAGTCTATGGTCTACCCTCGTTCTAGAGGTAAAGTAAGGAAGGACTAGATGGTTGTAGCAAGATATGTTGTCTACTTGTCTTTTTTCTAGCCATGAGTCATGTCCAAAGGATCATGAGAAGTAACAATGTATGCAAATATGTTATTCTTGGTTTGGAAGTTGGGATTCTGAAAATTGATGTATTTAATGAATTGTGTATTGTAATTTGATGCATTGTGTCAATGTATGAATTTGTTTGTAAAAAAAAGTGTCAATGTATGAATTTAAAAAATACATTGTTGGGAGGTTGAATAATTTTGGTGGTCTCTCACAAAATTAGGAAAAAAAAAATGAGTGATGGACAATCTCAGCTAAAAGTTGAGATTGATAATCCATAATGAATAATTCATGTAAGCTCATCTTCTTAAATTTTCATTTTAACTTTTAAGACAACAAAAAATGAATTCTCATGATTACATATAATCTATGAATTACAAGTATGCTAGTGGTCCCATCTTCAACTCAAATACATGCAATCGTTCATGATGAATCATTTTGGTGGTCCCATCTTCAGCTCAAATACAAATATTCTGTATTCTGATTCAATATAAGACAAAAAATGATGAATACGTTGCCTAAATACATCGTCTGAAAATCCCAAGGAACCCTTGAGACCACTAATAATAAAGCATTAGAGTCACATCAAAAGTCTAATACATGTATTGTGTGTCAAAAATAAAAATAGAACAATTACTAATTCTTTCCACTTATCTAAATACATTTATAATTTCAACCTCCAAACGACTCATATATCTTTAGCTAAAGCATGAGATTCTTTTGATTGTGTCTTTTTTTTTTCAAAAGTAAGTTATTTTTTTTACTTTACAGAAAGATAAAATCATAACATCCACATAATGTATTTTTCAAAAATATATTTACCTAAGAATATATTAATTCAATGAATGCATCAATTTAATTTAGAGGATCTCAACATGACCAATACTTTTTTTTTTTGTAAATTCAACATGACCAATACTCACGTTACTTTTTCCTTTAATTTTAGTATTTTACACAATTTTTGTATAAAAAGGCACTGAACCAAATAACTGTTTTTTACATGGATTATAAACAAATAACATGGACATTCTATGTCATCTATGATCTATGTTATCTGAGCAAAACGCCGTCGTATAATCACCATTTTTCACCAAAGCGATGCAGCCAGACGCCCAGAACCAAACAGAGCCATCTTTCTCCAAAAATTCAAAACTCAAATTGGAGGGAGAAAGACAAAGCAAAATCCTGCAGGAAAAGAAAATAAAAAGGGACAGTCACAGGCTCACAGCTTTCCTTACCTCTCTCTAGTCTAGTCTAGTCTAGTCCCCTTTTTCTTCTTCTTCTTCTTCTTCTTCTTCTTCTTCTCCATCTTGTTATCCTGTGGCCAACCTGCAGTTCAACAATCGACTTTGCTTTCTGCTAATTCGCTGAAAATGGGGGAAGTCCTGAGCCCTAATCCCGCGCAGAAGCAGCGGCTTCCCCGAATTCAGTCCCCAACTAGCCCGTTCTTCCTTGGACCCAACAACGACCAGCTCGAGCGAGCCCAGGCTCGCGCTAAGCGCGCCGCCGCTGTCCGCCGGATGTCCGTCGCTCTCAACGCTACTCAGTCTCTTCCCTCCGACGACTCCTCCGACCCCTCCTCTCCCTGCCTCGACAAGCAGCAGATCCTCGATCTCTTCCAGAACTGCATCAAACTCGCTAGCGAAAATGTCAGATCTGCACCCGCACCCTTCATCTTCTTTCAATTTTTTTGAATTTGGTGGCTTCCAATTTGGAATGGGATTTGTTCATTTTGGGGTTTCTGTGGCGTTTGCAGAAAATCAATCAGAAGAATACATGGGATTTGACCTTGATAGACCACTTGTACGATATTATAAAGGTGGAAGAAGATTCGGAGACCAATTTTCAGAAGGTTTTTTCCCCTCTTTACCTTCTTTTTTGCTGGTGGTTTTAGTTTTGAAGCTGGGAGTTAGCTAGCTTGAACAAACTGGACCTGGGTTTTTCTGCTAACTTTCGGTTAGGAGGGTGTTAGAATCGCATTTTAATTCCCATTCTTTTGTTCAGGCCAGTTGCACCCTCGAAGCTGGAGTGAAAATATACTCTATGAGAGTGGATTCAGTGCATTCCGAGGCATACAAGGTCCTTGGTGGGATTCATCGAGTGGGTCAAGAAAATGAACAAGGTTAGGGTCAATCGCCCTACTGAACTTGGAGAACTGCTAAATTGTAAATTGATTCGCTTATTTCCATCTCTATACAAATGCGGGGAGGATTTATTTATGTGGAGAATGCATTTCAAGTGATATTGCTGCACAAACTTAAAGTTGGAACTATCTATTGAATTGTGGTTGATGCCCTTTTAAGCTTGTTTTGGTCTATCTATCGTCACTTTCATGACAGATTCTGTTTCTGGAGATGCCAGTGCCAATGTTGGACAAGAGACAAGTCACAGGAAGAAGGAGACAGAGAAAAAGGTTTGCTGAAAATCATGTGTCACTTCTTTCTGCTAATTATTTACTGAAAGTCATGTGGTGACAGACTGCTGTGCTTGTAGATATCGCCCTTGTCAACCCTGGAATCATCTTTTGAGGCCCTTAACGTGAAGAAGTTTGATGGTGATCTAATCTTTGATAGTGTCATTTGTTGGTGGCAGAAGTTGCATTCAGTTAATTAATGAAATTTATTTTTCTGTTTCAGCTGCATTTGCTGTTGATCCCCTCTATCATCAGACATCTGCGCAATTTGATGAAGGTGGAGCGAAGGGTCTGTTACTGAATAACCTTGGAGTATATGGTGGATGTCGGGTGCTCTTCGATTCACAGGAAGTACCAGGAAAATGTGTGTCGTCTGAAAACCAGTGTGGCAGGGTCGAGTTGATTGACCTCTCTTTTGCTAAAGGTATGATATGTTTGAAATCTATTGCTCTATACCATGCAATGTCATTTTGAAAATGATTTAACGGAGTTTCCTCATGCATGGGCTTCTTGGTTCCTTACAGATTGCATTGACCAAATGCTCCTACACATGCAAAAAAAGAATGAAATTTCACCAACTCTCAGTGAAATTATTAGTCGATTTGATGAACATAACAAAAGGCCAGTAGATACATTTTCTTCCCACCTGAGACCAGGCAGCCAAATGGATGTAGATGACGATTTTAGCCAAGAAACTGAAACTGAGCCCGGTGGTGATGCATTTGAAAATCAAGAGACTTGGACTTACGATCAAGACGATCACCAAAGTGTTGTTGATGATGATATGGATAATCCAGATGCCAGTATTCCTAGTTATCATCAGGTGCCAGAATCTATATGCTATCCTTAGAGCGCCTTTCTCAGTGTGTTGATGATTATCACTACTATTCTAATGTACGAAAGAACCTCCCACTTAATGTTTGCCAATCTTTTGCAGGAAAATGACGCATTTTCTTTTGAAAACTTTGATATGGATGGCAGGGCAGATACAATTGATACGTATTTGTTGCACAGTTTGGGTTTCACATCCAAACACAATGCTTGGGCAGGTCCTGATCATTGGAAGTACCAAAAATCAAAAGGTAAAGCTTGAGGCATTCCCTGAGCAGTTTACGCTAGTCATTTGTCTCTCAGAACAGTAATGTAGAACTTTACCGCAGGGATGGAGGATAATCCCAATGGAGAAGAAGGGCCACAAGTTACAACCAAGAAACCAAAGACCAAGAAGCAAGCAGAACCTGACATTGATTTCACAAAAGCCTTGGACGAAGAACTGCTGGATGTCTTTGCTCCTCCAAAGAATCCCAAGTTACTGCTGCTACCAGCAAACCGGGCAGCCTCCAACACAAAGTTGCCCGAGGACTGCCACTATCAACCGGAGGATCTTGTTAAATTGTTTCTTTTACCCAATGTCATGGTAATGAAAGTTGCTTACCAAGAAATACTTCTGTGCAACGTTTTTTATTTTATTTCTGGTGCTGCTGTTAATGGAAGAGTTATGTTCTCTTGTAGTGTATTCGGAGGAGAGGAAGAAGTTCCAGAGGTGAAGTTCTTATCATCCTTTGAAAAATCCTGTCTTTTCTGTCACTTTCTGAAATGTGTGTGTGAGTGTTTTTTTCCCCCAGAAGAACCAGAGCAGCAATCTGATGACTATGAAGCACAGCCATCATGGGATGATGATGGTGGTGAATTTGGTGGCCAGTTTGAAGATATGGATGCACACAGTGATATAGAGAACCCTAATACACTAGTTTCTCAACCTCGGCAGGTTGGTTCAGACGCAAATTTGAGCTACTATGCTTTTGCCTCCTTATTAAATCATGGATGACGAATTTCCGGATGACATGACAAGTAGATGATATAGCACCACAATTGTGATGGGTTAATAATACTCTTTGGTTTTTTCAACCAACCCAGGTTGCTAAAATTGAAGTAAACTACGATAAGAGGTCAAAGCAAGTTGATGTCCAACGACTGAAGGAAACACTTTGGCATCATATGCAAGAATCTTCCCAATCATCTCTACAGGTAGCGCTACTAACCTGCTTACTATATGCACTTACCTTAGAAGAACCCATCCATGGGATTTATTAGTGACTAGAGCATTTGCCTCAAATTAGTTTATCATCATCTCTCGGCCATCCACTTCTCAAGTGAGTTAACTAGTTGCATGGACATGGAATTTTTCTTACTTATCGATATAAAACTCTGTGTGTACATGAGGAGGTCCAAGAAGAGCCAGCCTCGTTCAAGGACCTATTGGCAAGCTTTCCAAATGACTGCAATGCTGCTGCAACCATCAACGATATATCGCCTCATCTATGTTTTATATGCTTATTGCATTTGGCCAACGAGCATGGTTTGAGCATCCATGGCACCACCTCCTTAGATGATCTCAGCATCCATCTCCCCCAACAGAAATAGATTGGAGAGTTCCAGAGACCAACAGTGATCTTGTTTGTACTTATAAGAAATTAATGTATGAAAGTTTGGTTTTGGGAAAATGTTTGTCTGGTTGTATTGTAGTGCTTGCCAATCATAGTTTTGCAAAGATAGTGTTTGCAAATTGCTGGTGTAATATAAGACAGAGGGTCGACGAAAGATGTAAGATGACATATCCGTCATTGCTCTTTGTGTTAGCTTTATGGCAAGCTTTGTTTATGCGGCACATACTGTTGTTGCTTTCTGTATGTTTCTTCCCTAATGTCATTTGTAATTTCAAAATTCTCTGGAACAACTTTTTTGTGGAAGAAAAGGAAAGATGATGTTTTACTTGTGTGATGTGTGAACTAAGGACAAATTACATGAGTTAACAGAGTCTGACGGAGACTGACGGCCAGTGACTACTGGTGAAAGGATTCGTATAGTTAGTAGTCAATAAGAAAGAAAAGTAATTTGGATGACAAACGTGAAAATTAATGTAATTTGAGTGATCAAACGTGTAATTTAGCCTAAAAAAGTCTTCAATTACAAAGATTAAATTACAAAGTTAGATGGTTGATACAAATGGCGCTTATCAAGTGGTTATGTCATTAACAAGGAGATGAGACTTTTATTACTAGTGTGAAATTAAGAGGTGCCAGAGTGCTACAAATGTTACTGTTATATATATATTTATATGGTGTAATCTAGTGTATCTTTTTTTTAAGGGTGATATAGGTTTTTATGTTTTTGTTATTAATGAACTACTTATTTAAGGGTGATATAGGTTTTTATGTTTTTGTTATTAATGAACTACTTAAAAATTCGAATATGGGACTTCCAGGTTCTAGACTAGTGGTATTACCTAGATCAAGCCCTTGTTCGTAATCTATCATATCTTGAATAAAATTTAGAGTAGTACATAACCTAGTTTTTACTCTTTTATAATGACGGCTATACTCTAAACTAAGTTGTAAAAATTATTATTCTTTGAACCATTGTGTGGTTCACCTGTTCTTCAATTTCTGCACTATTTTGGAAAAAATGGGTCCATCCTTACGTCGCGTGTCTCGCTTGATGTTGGAATATGAATGTTTTTCAAACCCTCTTCCTTTTGGATAGTGATGGTTCATATAATTTTCCCCAAATGGGGATTATGGAAATGTAGGGGTCTTTGTGAGCATAAAGGGAATATTGTGGAAGCATTGTGTAGCATAGTGTGGGAGGCTTAAGTACTCTCTCCTCCTTGTCATCCACATTTCAGTGCTCACTAATATCAAATCCTCCACGTCACTAAGGTCACTGTTGTACGGATGAGGAGATTTCTCATAGTGATCACCATTGCGACCATGCTGTGAAAATCTAAGATGTTAGCGCATCCTTCATCTCATACTATCTCTAAACAGTAGGGAAGGTAGGCACATTTAAGATGGTTGGTCTCTCACTATCTCTAAATACACTTTCTTTCTCTATAATACTTGTCCAACTTGATCGTTGGAGGTCTAACGGGCCTAATGAGCCCTTCGGTGTGTTGAGTTGTGAAGGCGCTTGGGCTTGGAACCTACAAATGGAGGTGCATTGGAGGAAAAAGAGTACTGTGGCATCAACAGGGGGATTCAATTTACTCTAATAATGTTCTCAAGAACCTTAAAACTTTTGCCTAGTGAAAATTAACTCATTCGAGATCGTTCGTGACGGCACCTAAAATATTCTATTTTTATATCTTATTTATGGCAAGTTTTACATTATCTTGACATGAGCAATTTTTACTTGGATTTGCTTCGAGTGTGTTTAACCAATTATTTGATATCCTTTAAATTTCAAAGTGCTTAACCGTCCATTTGATAGAAAGAGCGTTCAAATATCAACAATGGCTTTATGTTCCTAAATTGATGTTTCTAGTTATTTCTATCCCCATGAGTGGTTAGTTTGATAGTTGTTCAGGTTTCTAGAACCTAAAGGTTCCTAAGATTGTTTATGACACTTTGATATTTATATGTCGCGTTGAGTTATTTGTCTAACCTATTTCATTTATTATTATTGATTACATTGTCATATATCTGTTTCATATGAGATTGATGGTGAGATACTTATCATATGATAAGGAACACCAATATTGATGAATGACTAGATAGTTAACAAAAAGGATAATCGTTACAATAGAATTGTCTCATTGTTCGCAGGCCGCCTAGTTTAGCTCTACCGTGGGAACTATTAGGGTTTGGGATAGGATATTGCATTGAAATAGGGGTGAAAACCTTCATAGATAAACTAAACTACATGTGTTTTATTTGGGTTGCATATACATTTGGAAACTCTAGAGGAAGTAATACCTAATCAAAACATTTTACTTCTTGCTTTTACTCGTGGTTTGTGTTAGTCTAGGGCTTATAATTTAGTGCTTTATTAGTTGTTTAGTTTTGTGCTCTTTGGTTTTGCGCTTGTGTTGTTTTCAAAAGCATTTTGAGACACCACAGTTCCAATTGACTTTCTAAAAACACAATTGGTTATTCAAAGTAGTGGGAGGAGAAATGTCTTGAGGGATTACGGTCTTGGTAGTCTTCGTATATATCGAGTTAAAGTTGACCTATCATACGGTGAATCGTATCCATGTATCATTAACAAACATGCTTTTATAAGTGCAGTGTAACAACATTCATTAGATGCATATATAACTTCCCACATATTGCCAAAAGTCATATCAACTACATGAGAGTAAGTCTATTTATAGTCAATGTCAAGTATTTTTAAAAGATTCTTATAACAATTTGAGCATGATATCTCTTAGTTTCTCCCCATTTGTCATGTCATCGTAAACCTACATGTATTTTTAATTGTTATACATCTAGATACGTGAGTATAGCTCTCATGACTTCTTACTGTGCAATCAAGTTCATATCATACCTACCTAAAATGCATTGTTACTATTTTCCCAACCACTTGTTCATAGTGATCAATAGTCTTAACTTCGTGATCCTTCTTGTTCATGTATCATATTGCATGCTACACTATATACAAGTTTACTATCAACGTTGACTTCCTTTAGATCTCATCGAATTTCATTCAAGATATAATTTATGTAAATATCTTTTATTTTCCCTAAAAGGGACCAATGTTATGATACTTGGAGATTCTCGTAGGGGTACAATATCCTCATCATAATACCATCTGTATCTCTCTATTTTTTTTGTTTATCGAGGAGCGTATTACTCTAGAATGATAGTTTCATCACAATACATGTGTGTAACATATATCGGGTTATTTATTATGCCTGCCAGGCCAGTAGGCTTTTTAAGCATTATAAATGAATTATTACATCCTAAGTGCAAGGTCGTAATTTAATTTAATAATGAGAGCATCATTCTTTGTTCAAGATCATGAAGATCATGTTCACACCATGGCATTTACAAAATTATATGTGGTTTTTGAGGAAATGGAACCCAGAATTTGACCTATTGAATGTCAATCTACCAATCTAGTTGGGGTGACCTTGCATGATTTGCCGGATGAGTATGTTACTGGTAGGGGCCTAATAAGATTAGCCAGTATGCTAGGTATCTCTCTATGGCTAGACCACTCTACTTGATGGGGCATAGACTAGGATATCCAAAAATCTGCGTGTAAATAAAGGTTAACTCAAAGTTCCCCAAGTCTCTAAAACTAGTTCCTGACAGGAGACCATCATTCTTTGTTCAAGCTTAGTATATGAATCTGCCTCCTGTGTGCAAGAAGTTAATATGTTCGTTCTTCAGTAAGTAGAGGCTGATACTTATGAATTGAGGAAGTAAGGGGAAAGTGATGGAACTGGTGGGAAATGGGGCTCAAACATGGCTTGAGTGTGTCCAGTCAAGCCCGACGAGGAATGGAGGAACAAGGGGTGATTTAGTTGCAGAAGGTATTGTAACATATAAGGAGCATGACGTATAAGGAGTGATTTAGTTGCAGAAGGAATATGACTGCTGGGACTTCTGCAGAAGTATCATATGTGGTTGTATGTTTCAAACGGTTGTAGCAAATTTGGTGGCTTCTCTAGAATCAAATCTAGCTTGGAGGGACAAAGGCTAACTACTGCAAGTAACTCAGGTAGGAAAGGTGAGTGATAGCCTGGATAAGAGTGATCACTTTACAACACTGGCTTCTGATGATCAGCTTGAGTAAGTGAGATCACATTCTCTTCATTATAGAGTTTGAAGAATATCCAGAGTTGAAAGAGGTAAAGGAGTAAAGAAGTAATGCAGGGTAAAAAAAGGCCTGAGAGGCCTCCAAGGTCCAAATATAAATGTGTGGAACATAAAGGATTTTAATAGTCTGGTTAAGCAGGAGTTTATAAATTCTATGTGTAAGATGCATAAGGTGGATATGGTAGCAGTGCTTAAAACTAGGGTGATGAAGGAAATGCTAAGAAAATTGTCGATAAGTGTTTTTCTGATTGATAGTGGACAGAAAAACTATTCAAAGTCGTCATTGGGCAAAATTTGGGAATTCTGAAAGTCGCATGTTTAGGTTTCAGTTCTAGATACATGTGATCAAGGATAATTGGACTGATTCATACATGGTTGTGTTACACTTGTGGAATTAAGGGTGATGATCAATTTTGTCTATGGGGCAAATGATGTAATGCCAATAAGTTATATGTATAGGGAGATGCAACAAAATATAACCTGTATTGATCCATGGTTGGTTTTGTGCGATGTCAATACCATAAACAAGCAAGAAGAGTCTTCTATTCAAGTGGATATGGGGGGAAGCAGTAGGAATTTTGGTGATTGATAGAATCTATGCAACTAGATGACCATAGGACGATAGGTCCTTGGTTAACTTGGACTAACAAACAAGAAGGGCACCCTATTGCAAAACAAATTGATAGAGTACTAGTAAATGTTCCGTGGTTCAGGTCTCACCCTAATAACACTGTTAGAATTGTTTTGACTAATTTATCTAATAACCGTGAGCTCCTTGTGGATACATATACTAGGTTGGGGAAATTCTCTAGGCCTTTCAAGTATTTTTAACTTCTAGAAACAACATCCAAAGTTTGAATCCATAATCAAGGTTGATTGGAGTGATTATGAGGCTTTTCTTAATAGGCCAAGGAACATTAAAGAGGGGTTGAAAAAATTAAATAGATCCCATTACTCTAAGATTAGTGAAACTGTTAATCAAGCACGATTAGAGTTGGAGGAAGCTCAATAGTGACTTTGGAGCTACCTTCCCTTGAGGCTTTTGCAGCTGAGAGAGGGTGTATGGTCCGACTTATTGAGCGTAGGAAGGCAGAAGACTTATTTTATAAGCATAAATCAAGAATTATATATGTGGACTGCTAGTGGTGATTTGAACAATAGATT